CATTCAACATTCCCGTGTTTTAGTGTTTCCAGACGTTGTTAAACTGTCCCTTTTCTTTGACTTAAAATATGGTACTAAACTTCTTCAGTCTAATCTTGAGAAGCTATACTTACCTGTGGCGCGCAACCAATGATATGGTGTTGAATTCAAACAAATGTAAGAAAATGTCTTCTACGTGTTGTAGTACGACGCCTTCTTATCATCGCATAGTTAATTACATTGTGGAAAATGTTTGCAATTACAAAGTCTTAGGAGTTGTGCCTGATTCAAAACTCGAGTTTGACAGTCATCTTGAACTGTCAGATCCCTTTTAGGATTTATAAAAAGATGGTCTAAAGAACACACGTTACTAAGTGCTTATATACTTCATTAGTTACGCCAACTCTTGAATACTCGTCGATAGTTTGGCTTCCTTGCTATCGATGCCATATTGATCTTATGGAGTCTGTTCAACGGGTCTTCTTGATGTTCGTTTTGCGAGGGTTGGGATGGGATCATACCCTATTTCTTCGCGCAAAAAAAAGGTTCAAATGTTGTTGGGTGTAACCTTCCTCTTTAAGCTAATAAATGGTGATGTTTATGCGCCGACTTATATTCACATCCCTAGTAAGAACTCGAGATGTTTTGTGCTTTTGCAGCCACCACAATGCCGTACAAATTATAAATCGTTCAATCCGTTTCGAGTAACGTGTAAGATGTTCAATGATCATTACCACTTACTTGATCTGTCGGTTTTCTCCGTTAATAAGGTGAAAAACGTTACATTATCGAACTAACGGCAAAATATTTTTGATTTACTTATCTTTGATTGATATTTTATACAATATATTGCTCGAACTTAATACATTTAACACACAAGTGGTGTTTGTGTTACATCTTTGAGTATATCATGAAAGGGCAACTTTTGATCAAAGTTGCCCAAGCATACTATATTGTGATAGCGATAACTTATTAGTTAGTCTTATAATAAATAAATAAATAGATAAATTGAGAAGATATTTCGCAATAGCAAAACAATAATGAAATGTAACAACGAAATTAATTAAAAGAAGAAAGAATTCTCTTAAATTTAAACTTGGTCTAAAATGTTAACTGTAAGATTTAATTAAGCATTGCTACCTAAGCACTGAATACATACTGTTTTATCCTTTCAATTTGCCTAAAGCTAGGTGGTTCGAAAAAACACGCAGGTAACGCATATCATAGCTTAATTTTAAGGTATATTTCATATATTAACCATCAGCTGATAATTACGAAATTTGTAGCTGAATATTGCATAAATAAATAAATAAATAGACTGTCTTGACAATTTTGAATCTTAAGGCATTGAAAAAAAAAAAAAAACCATGGCCTGTCTACTCTGTTGTCTGTTGTTTGTTATAGAGGTAAAGGCAAATACTATCCACAATTGCTAATGGATGAGGAAAATCCAATTTATCCTTCGCAACACGATTTCGATGTTGTTTAGAAAATCGTATTTGAAGCTCTCTCGGTTCCGAAGTTACGAAATGTGAAATATGAAATGTGAAATCTTGTCACATTTGCTTTCGTTAAGATATTTTTTTGCTCGCCCATATACGATGCCAATGATCTGGGATCATTGGTATCTATAACCACACACACATGCAAGTTCAGCTATAGACGTTTGAACTTAGTATACAAAGAAGTATTGTTCGCCTACGTCTTCACCACCCTAAGCTTTCCCTTCAGATAAACATTTTTGTGTAAAGACTGAGTTGCTTTACCTTTCGCCAATTTTTTACGTTTTCAAAAAACTCATGAATACGTCAACTTTTAACGGTGATCATGAAAAGGTCTCCCCTGCTCATCTGGCAATCCTATCAATCTATCTATTAAGCAACAACTACTGCTAGCAGTTTAATTTAACTGGCCTAGGATTTTACAAACCCACTTAAAAAGTCATTGTCAAACTTAATTAATCAGAGGGTTTAAACTGGTACGATCCAATGTTTTGCGGCAAGATGTCAGCGAACATAATTTTTATACTCGTTCGTTAAGGTGTTTCTGCTTCGCTGTGAATTCAATTGCATCGCGTCTTATGAACGTGTATAACTTACTTAACACTTGAAAGTTTTAAATGCTATAATAAAACGTTGCAAAGAGCATTTCAGAAACCATTGCACTAGCGCGACATTACCATAATCAGCCATTTGTAGAGGAGATTATAATGATGCAATTATTTTGTACGTTTAACGCGAATTTAAACTATTAAGCGTTTCGTTGCAATTATGTATTAAATAAAGAAACTAAAATTTAAACACATTTTTCATATATATTATGTGCTATTAAATTATATACGTGGCATTTTCACAGGACGCGTTTGAAGTAAGCTTCCTGCCTTTAGGAGAGTTCTGAAAGCAAAAAAAAAAAGGAGAGAGAGAGAGAGAGAGAGAGAGAGGGGGAAACAAATAATAGTCGCACGAGGAAAGCTCGAGGCCAAATCCCAAATTTTTCTCGAATCACAAGATATGATAAAAGATCATCTCTGTCCCGTGTGAATTTTAATCGCATTTGCTGCCAGCGATGAAAGACTGGGGCCGTGTCTTCTAGGCAGGTTAGAGCAGCTCACATGACGCACGATTCCTTTCCAATCCGACCAGATGTAAGGAAATTACCTACGCAGTCGGCAATTCGTACTTTATCACCAACAACTTTCGCGACTGTTTCGCACATTATTGAGCGACGTGACGTGACGCGTTTCACATCCCACTTAATCAATCTTTTCATTCATTGGATTTCATTCCATTTCAGCGGCATTTCGGAAGTTCAATGTGTCGTCTAAATATCGTGAGTCCTTTTTTACCCGCCCTCGTACAAATAGTTTCGTGTCAGTTTTTTAATCAATGCTTAGTTCTCCAGCGATATTACAAGACAAGGTATGCTCGTCTCTCTCAATGTTTTTTAATAATTTCATCGAGCTTATTAACGATTGAAAGACCAGAGCGCGGCACATCTGCATCATCTGCATTTTGCAGGGCACACACACAAGCGAACCATTTAAGTTCTGCTGATTTTGTCAAACTAGGCTTTTGCGTAAACTTTTTCACAAGCCGACGAAATGCTATGGCACTAATCAAAGTGGTGTCGTGCGATAAGCGAATTTTTTTTTTTTTTTTTGTAAAGCATTTATCTGACTTATCTGACGGAATGAACGAATCACGCAATATGTCTTTAAACCCGAAAACACTTCTTGCACAGATCTGTATTAAGTTTGTGCGGATGTATATAATACACAGAAGAATTTGAGATAGACTCACCTTTCATTTATAGTCACCTAAGTTTATCTGTCCGCCTGTTTGTCTCGCATTCTTATGTTCAACCTACGTTTCGCAGTTTTTGCGATATTTTGATCGAATTTGGACAGAAGTTGTTTGAGCCAAATACGAAGAAGAAAATTGTTCGACTCGAATCTCTTTTTCCACCATAATTGCATTAAGTAAAGTGAAGGTATTCACCGTATAGTGTTCTTACTTGTTGTGTATTCTAATCATCTGTCAATTGTCACTTTTTGAATACATAAGCAAGTGAGTAAGTTGGTGAAATTTTTCCCTTAGCTTGTATATTGCGGGCCTGCACTGTACATTGCTAAAGGAGGATTGTTAAAGGAGGTAGATTCGTTCCAGTTCTTTAAATAACTGATTTTTCCAATCATTTTTTCAGTTTATTTTGTTTACATTCAAAATTTATGAATTTTCTTAATAGTGAAGTAAATTGCGAAGCGTCCTTGAGTAACTAATATTTTTATTAAAAATCTTAAAAGATGTGCATAAAGTAACATATCAACGTTATATATCTAATGCCATAACTAATAAATCAATTATTTCCAAGCAGCTAACTGTACATGTGAGTGCAATCGGATGTGATGGCATAGTGCGATGGTTTCAATGTGTAAGGGCGCGACGGCAAGTATTTCATATAAGGGCACTCGCATACTCTTGTAGGCACTCAATAGATAACCATTTGCTTACTTATTGTTGTTCATTGTTTTTTAAAATTGTGCATATAGATAAGAGCGAATATATGGGCCCACCAGCTCTTATACAAAGGCTTGTATATGCTCGAGCACACGCTCTCAAGCGGTGAGTGTTCTATAGATGACAAGAAAAGTGTACTTTATGTTTAAGAAATTTATTCAAATTTTTCTTTGCGATGAAAAAATTCTATCTAAAGTGAGTTTTCTTTTCCCTTTTTTTTTTTTTTTTTTTTTTTTTTTCTTTATAACTTGAATATATTCATATGTATGTCGGTGCATATATGGGCACACACTTGCTTTGCATGTGTGTAACAAAGCTAACAAACAAAGGGGTTTTCTTTTGCCTTCTTTTTTTTTCTCTCATGGCTACTCATGGTCAAGTACCGTAAATTGAAATGTTTCTGATGCACATACATTTATCAACGCAGTTATCGACATATTCATCTTTATTATCATTTTTATCGCATCGGGAATGGATGAAGTAAACATTTAAGAAATTGATCATTTCATTTAGTTTTCTATAAGGCGCTATCCGGTGTTACCAAAACTCTCTTTAAATACTTTTCAGTTCAAATTCAATGACGTTATCATTGCTCTTACTCACATTAATATACACTTTCCGATATGCAAATTCGAAGAAGTAGTATATACTTATATTTCGGTCTACACCATACTTTTTTACACGATTTTCATTTTATACGGCCCATAAAAGTATTCGCTGCAACTTAACTCTGTATGAAAATTTGCATTTCCTCAAGGATTTGCGGAGCGAAAAAAAATACGAAATATTCGAAGATGAAGGATCCTTAATGTAGATTAATCAACCAAACAAGTGATAAAAGGAATGAAAATTTTATGAAATTTTTCAAAATATTCTTTTGTGTTTTTTGGATAGATTCAACTCTCTTATTATATACGCTATATATATATATATATATATTACATTTTCAACTTATGAACCGCCTGCAATGTAATAATTATTTTTTATTATTCCATTTATTTTCAGATCATTTTTCTTGTTCTTATCTTTGAGAGCCAGTTCTAAACGAAAGTCAACTGCCAAAAACTTCGACGAACCAAAACTTGTGATATGAATATTGCTTAAGTACATTTTTTGCCTATTCGAAGCTTGTGGATGGACGACGCTTAGGCTTAAATTGCGAACAAGCGTAAACGCGTATGCACGCACGTTACAAAAATTGAAAGTAATCAGTGAAAGGAAGAGAGAAACATCAAGATTGAGAGAGTAAGAGAAGTAGAGAAAAAGAGTAGGAGAGAGTAAGAGTAAGAGCAAAAAAAAGAAACCAAAAATTTGCTGTGATCTGCCATAAAAACAAAGAAAAAAAATCAGAAAAGACATTAATCGAAAAAACAACAGATCAGACAACGAAAGTTAAACAAAATTACACACATTCCTTATCATTGGTGCTGTGGACACAACAAAGAATAATAGATGAGATGTAGCGGTAAGTTTATCGCAAGCTTTTCTTTCTCTAGAGGAGAATCCAAATCTCTGCTAAGTACTTTTTTTATTCATTTTTTTTTTCGTTTTTTTTTTTTTTTTTTTTTATCAGCGGACCTATGGTCGGCGAACGCGATAGAGACCGTGAAACGGTACGTTGGGAAACGGGCAAATCAACACCATCCTCCCAATACAATAATGGAGTATCACAAATGGTGGGACAATTGCATGGTGGACAGGCTGCAAGCCAACAACAACAGCAACAATTACCAATACAACGCGAATCACAACACCAAACCGGGCAGCATAAAATTAAACAGCAGCAGCAACAACAGCAACACGATTATCAGCCGCAACAACAACAGCCGACAAATAATTGGATTGAAAACGAAAATCTTGGACGTAACAGCGCCACATCAACAACAACAACAGCGAACATTGGAGATAACTGCGACAATCAACCCTACTACGACACCAGTGGTAATGTCGATTGGAACCGAACAATGGGAACCACTAGAGTTGGTGCATACGTTGGCGGCGATGGATCCATACCAACAGCTAGCAGCATTACTTGCAACATTAATCAAAGTGCTGCAACTCAACGAACACCCCCTGCCGCTGCTGGTGGCGGCCTGGATTATACTGATAGCAGCGGCCTTGGTGGCACATCCGTCACAATGGCTCATATTGGAAGCGGCATTACGACAAGTGTTGGTGGTGTTTCGACGGCCGGACCTGCGGGACACGTTGGTGGCTCTGCAAATCCCGGCCAAGGCAATGTCGGCAAAGAAGTACGCTACGCTCCGTTTCCAGTCACCTCCCCTACACATTCGAATCCCACTACTTCCCAGCTACATCAAAGCGTCGTCGTCGCCGGCGCTTTGCAGCGAACACATTCCAGATCCATGTCCTCCATTCAGCCGCCCGAGCCTTTTATGATAGCGCAGTCAAAACAAATGAACAATCGCGTTTCTATTAATGTAGGCGGCGTTAAGCATGAAGTACTATGGCGCACATTGGAGCGACTACCGCATACACGGTTAGGTCGTTTGCGCGATTGTACAACGCATGAAGCCATTATAGAACTATGTGACGATTACTCACTAGTCGATAATGAATACTTTTTCGATCGCCATCCAAAAAGTTTCAGTTCCATTCTAAATTTTTATCGTACCGGCAAACTTCATATCGTTGATGAAATGTGTGTTCTAGCCTTCAGTGACGACCTCGAATACTGGGGTGTTGATGAGCTCTATCTCGAGTCATGTTGTCAGCATAAATATCATCAACGCAAAGAAAACGTACACGAGGAAATGCGTAAGGAGGCCGAATCGCTCCGCCAACGTGACGAGGAGGAATTCGGTGAAGGTAAATGTGCCGAATACCAGAAATATCTATGGGAGCTGCTGGAAAAGCCGAACACAAGCTTTGCCGCGAGGGTAAGTCCATTTGATTTTCAATACCTTTTAGCCCTCACGAAATGTTAGGTACGTATCCCGATTTAATTATTCATTCAAATCATACCAATATTTAGTTTACTACGTTTAGTTTGTCAACTTTTCTTTCTTTTGGTTTTTGTTTTTGCCTTCTTTTATCAGTGTATTATACTATGTTTATTTATTTATTTATTTTTTTTTTTTTTTTCATTTTTCACCATCTACCTTAAATTTTCATTTAAATTTCATCATGAAGTCATGAAGTGAACTTAATAATTAACAATTTTAAATTAAGAATTGGAACTGAGCAACTTTCTGCTATAAGAAGAAATTTTTTTATGAATTGTAAATATGCTCACGTATCACACTATATGCTCAGTATTGAAAAATCTTCTTCTTATTGGCGTTAAGGTTGTCACTTCTAAACTGAAGCACAATTTGTCAATTTTTTTCTTTTTAAGTTGCTCACGCAATAAAAAAATGTTGATAACGTATGATATACGTTCTCAGTGCAAAAAAAAAAAAAAAAAAAAAAAAACAATTCTTAATGCAAAATTTTCTATAAACACATTCACATCATATATAATATAAAAAATAATAATATATTCAAATAAAAAGCTGTACAAAATGCCTTACTTTCACTTTATCCGAGAGAAGATATTAAAAAAAAAAAAAGAAAAAGTCCCAAAAGCGAAGAGCTTTTCAAGCTAAACGAAGAAAAAATATATTGAAAATCTTAACAACTATTGCTTTGATGTTATTGAGTTGAAGTTTCTTGTTAAAGTTTTTTTTTTTTTTTTTTTTTTTCATTCTCTTCGTTTGATTGCTTTGTTGTGTAAAAGTTTTGTTAAACTAAGTTGACGAGTTATCCTTATATATGCAATATATGCAAACTCTGAGAAGCCAAACAGCTATAAATTTAATTCGTTACCTACACCCGCTGTGCTCAACACAACAACATTTAAAAGCGAAAAGAGAAAAAGAAGCAACAATTATTTATATTTTAATAGCTGTGCTACTCTCTGTATTCCTATCATATTCGGACAATAATTATACCGCTGTACATAATAAATGTTATCCATTCAGTTTACGTTACGTTAAAGTTTTAAATTTTCCTTTCTTTTTCCCATTTATATTCTCCTCTGTTTGCGGAGGCCTAAATACATATTTGTAATAATACAATTCACACTTAATTATACAATACATACGGCCATGAACAGCAACGTCCGCGTAATAAGCAAATTCGTTACGAAATTTGTCGTTTAAACTTTTCAATGATTCAATACGCACATCATTTATGACTTAAGCGTTCAGTTAATTGCAATATGCGTTGCTTGATAATACACGACTGATCCCCACGGAACTCTCCCTATATCACTTGCAACTTATTTCGTAACTTCTCAGAGGTTGGTTGCTGAACATCAGCTAAATACCAAACCTAAATCTTTTCATTATTATACGGCAATCATTTTTAAGATATGCAAATCGAAGATTCGGACGCGCATTGAAATAAAACTTGAAATTCAAACATCAATTCTTCGCTCATTATTCCCGAACTATCTTTATATGTAGAAGTATTGCTCTTATAATTGCCTTGTCTCAGTCTAGTCCGGTAATATTCGATAATTAATAAAGAAAATCAATTATGAGAAATAGCCCCTTGGGAGGCCGTTAAAGGCGTACTTCGCCAGTAGCCAACTACTGATTCCATTGCTATTCCGTTTCTTGCATATGGCCGTGGATTCACGTGATCACATCAACTCAGATGAACTATGCCTTAAAGATAGATTTCGCATTGGCTTTCCGCTAGGATTCAACAAAAACACCGATTACGGTCATTTAAAATTTGCAAATACTTAATTTGTGTTTTGTCTTGAGTTGCCTTTAACTGTTTTGATCGCAAGTTGTTTGCACATTTTTCTTTCCACCTCGTAATTAATTTTCTTAAGTAATATTTACGAGAATGCCAGCCCTTCACTTGATTACACTTCTTTCTTATGAACGTTTGTTGGTATGACTTATTAGTCTCGATCCAAGCAGTCTTACCTTGGGTGTATATCGTGATCCACGTCACCTAAAACGTAACCAGTCTTTCAATTTTAAATAAAAAAACAAAGCATTTTATTCCTTTCCTTACATAATCTCTCCTTTAATTGGGAAATTTGTGCTTTATTTCATACTCTCTTGGACAAGCACAAATATAAAATCCATTGCATCCTAATCCATTTCTATACCAGATTGTTTTTACAGGTAGCGACATTAAACAAATTTGTTAAGTTTTGTTTGTTAAGCAATGTTCTCAGAGACCTAAACTTCATCGAAACAAATTTCAAAGTTCACGTAGGTATAATCTCTACGTCCATTACCTAAGCTAAAGATAGGCTACGGAGATGATACTAAATAGGTGCTTTCTTTTGTAGTCTCTGGAAGACCGCTAGGCATACATAAATATTGATCGACTCGTAAGATATGAAGGATTCATTCTGCATTAAGCAATGCTTCGTTATTTGTTGCAGTCGGTTTCTTAGTAATATTTACTCGTCTTAGTTAAGGCTTATTAATTAATTATTAGCCCATAGTCTGTTTACCGTAATGTGTAATATTTAATGCTATAAGGGAATGCATTGTCGAGTTCTGCTCTTAGCTTCTGTTCATACCGCAAAGGAAATCTTTCATTACATTACCTATTCGATGAAAAACCGTACAGCCTCAGCTCCTGAGTCAGACTCGATTTGGGCATGCGTTGAGATCAATGACTTTATGTGCTATATGAACGAATAACAGCTATGCCTAATTTTTTAGAACATCAGATAACTGAAATGTTTGGATTATCATTAGCAGTCAATCGTAGACCCGACATATTCTCTTCATTCATTTCCCTTCACTTTATATGCATTTATTAAATCGGCATTGAATCTTTGCGCTGTATGCGCCCCAAACTGAAACTGTCTTCACTTCGTTTCTTAAACTCGATTGTAACCTTTGAAATGTGATACAAGCCAAAACGTATTGTATGAAGTCTTGCGTAGATTTTGACGAAAAATTTCTACACAACTTGCATGTATTATAATTGGGCTTTTTTTTGCCTGTTCCATTATTAAATGATAGACTTTGAACAGGCGTTCTAACCTAAACACTTGAGAAATCCAAAAGTGACGTGATATCAAAACGACACCTGAATTGTGGATTGCATATCTTTAAAATGAAAATCCTTTGTACGGTTTATTTCCGAAGTTGTGACGCGACAATTAATTCCAGTAGATTTTTGTTAAAGGAGAAATCCTTTTTAAATATTTAAAGAGAAAAGCATTGACTTGAAATTCGAATACATGACCGTGTAACCACTATCTGTATATATGCTTTACTCGACGCTAAAGCTTTAAGGCAATGTGAGTTTTAAAGCCGTTGAAAGCTTTAAGAGAACTCGCTTGCTTTTCACTATTTTCACGCAATACTATGCCAGTCTTAAGCTGAAGCTGACGTTTAAATGTACATAAGTAGACAGTACCTTGTGTAGTGTGCATGACATGTAACAAAAAAAAAAAAAAAAAAAAAAAAGCAATGACAACAACAACAGCAAATGACAATTTATAAAATTTTACTAACGATGATCGATTTCTTAAACTTGCATAACTAATAACAACAATAAAAAAAAAAGTATTGAGTTTGCCTGCTTTGTTGTGTTTAATGTCTCGTTTGTTTTTCGTTTTTCATTTAAAATAAATAAATTATGTGAAATTTCGAAATGTCAATGACAGCATCGTTACGCATAACAAAACAACAACAAGGGCAACTAAACACACTTCGTCTCTCTATTTTTGTACTGAAATAAAGCGAGAACAAAATAAGTAAATAACAACAATAAAGATGAAAGAAAAAGAAAAAGGAAAAAATAAAAATAAAATAAACGCTTCTCACGAAAGCTCCATTAGGAAGAAACAGCAAAGAATAGTAAGGTATAAAAGATAAAATAATAATAAAATTAAGAGAAACAAATAAATTTTTGCATATTTTCATTTTATTTTTATACTCTTTATAATTCTTTACCGTTACTTGTCTTACTACTCTTCTCTTTAATTTCCGTTTGACTTTTACCATTAATTTGTCTTATCCTGTTTTCTGTTCACAAGGTTAACCAGACATCATTTTCAGTAGCGTATTACGTTTCATTATTAATTTTTTTTTTTTTTTTTTTTTTTTTGGTATTTTCTTTTCACAAAACCTTTTTTAAGAAAGTAGATAAACCAAGAAATATATAAAATAAATAAAATACATTTTAGCAAAATATTAATTCGTAATTTTATTAATAAAAGTATATTTCTCACATGTTGTTTATTTACATTGTATTTATATACCTTTTTTTATCTACTGCTCTCAGCTCAATAGTTGAACTAATAATAATATAATAACTATTAATGACGATTTTTCTCTTATCGTATAAATTGTATTAAATTAAAAAAAAAAAAAAAAAAAAAAAGTTTTTATTTAATCAACAACTTCGCACACAGCGCAAGCGTCTCTGTATGCAGATGCTATACACGAGCGTAATAACACGCGCACAATGAATATAAATGGGAATGGGCAAAAGCGACATGACCAGGCGGCAGATGTGCTGTAGAAATCCTCGAAATAATTGTAACAATAAGGATCTCTGGGGAGAAGTGGCCAAATTCGTGTTGTAATGCATTTCCATTTCAGTTAATATGTATAACTTTTCACTCGTCCCCTCTCTCGGCCCGTTTCTCTCTCTCTCTCTCGCTCGCTCGCTCTCTCTTCCACACACACACTCACACACATGCTCTCTTTTGTCTATCTTGCTCCCTGCTTTTTTTTTTCTCCCCCTGTCTCTCTCTCTCTCTCTCTCTCTCGCTCTCTCTCGCTCTCTCTTTCGCCATATTGCTTAATGCTTGTTATGCTTCTACACGACCCGTTACGTAATGAGCGTCGACATCAATCAACTAACCAGGCAAGCTGGCTAACTAGCCGGCCAATCACCCATAAAT